GAAGTCCATTTTACTGTCACATACTGTGAGGCAGTGTCTGGTGGGCAAATGTTTCAGGTTCTGCCGAAATGATCTTGCTTCATAGGAAATACCTGGGCTAATGTCCCACCTTGAGACAAACCAGAAGGAGTCAAAGACTGTGTCTCAAGAAAAACAAATTAGGCATTTCCAGGGAGAATTTTGAGTTTCGCAGGCACAATTATTTCTATCACCACATGTTGCCTCTGTTCTCAGTGGTACTGTCATTGTGGCTTATGTTACAGTGTCTTTCGTTCCCCAAGTCCAGACTTTCCCATGGAGCAGCAAACTGCTTGAGGCAGCTAGGAGATGATCAAAGCCTCAAAGAGCTGCTAAAAATGTAAGTACCTGTAAATGTCAATGTTTTAGCAAATAAGTGTTTTTTTTTCTTTTAGTTCCAAATTTTGTGATGTGCATTGTCACTTGAGAGCTGGTATAATGATGTCTGATAAGATCACTCCTGTACTTACTCATTCTATTTCTCTGTAGGGCTTCTCCACAAAGCAGTGGCAAAAATCCATGTATTGTGTAGTTTCACTCCATAAGTGCCTCTCTTTTTGTTGTTGTCTGTAATATTTCTTCCTTTTGGGTGGTCTGATAATGAGTAATTGTTATCTGCTCATGTCTCACTGCCTTAGAAGTTCCTACGGAATCTCCACAACTGGGAGACAGTCTTTTTCCCCCCTAACAACAGGCAGAGTTTTATAGTACGAAAATATTGTTCGTCATTTTTTTGCCACTATTGACAATATATGAGTATTTATCCACCAGCAGCCAAGAGCCAACGGTTTCAAAAAGATTAGTAAAATTCATGATTCCTTTGTTTATTTTTATTTCGGGTTGAGAGTACAGCTGGGTAGTTCTTGGATTTTGGAGCCAACTGCATTTTCTATTGAAATATGTTGTTCCAATTTCCACAAACATGAGTGTCAACCATGCAGGTTTGAATGTTACAGTCAGTGCTTGGATTGCTTTGAGCTGATGAAGGGGAGATTATGGGTGTTTGGTCCAGTTGGATTGGTTGGATTGGGCTATGGCTTCTTTCTCTGCAGCAAGAATCCTGGCAGGATGGGGCCTTGGCTCGACTTAGCATGAGAGCTGGGCACAGGGAGCTGTTGTATTAAGCTAAGCTGTGCCCTTAGCAGGACTGCCTTCTGTCTGGCTTGGGGCCCCACTGGAACTCTCCCTGCCATCTGGCTCCAGGGAGGCCTGAAGAGGGGAATATTGAAACCCCTGTTTCACGGCTCAAGTGAAATCTGCATGGCTATTGACAGTTTCTAACTCTGGCATAAAAGGAAAGTCAGAAAGCACAGACTTGCTCTTCTACCAGCAATTGGAGAATACTAATTAGGAAAATAATACAATAGTTCAGAAGTTGACTTAGCTGAAAAGATTAGGATTGGTTATTTGTTGATTAATCAACAAAGTCATTTGATATGTAAAATGTAAGTGAGGTGTGAGTGTGTATATATATAAATCTACGTATGTATTTATGTGTATAAATACATCTTATACACACATTATCTGAACTTTGAAAGTGCACACACATATTTGTTTGCCAATCTTTTTTTTTTATTTTATTGACAAATAAAAAAATTGGACCTTACTCATCCTTCCCAAGTCTTCCTGGGAGAGTAGACTCCAGCCTGACATACATTGCTTTTCTATATGTGAAAAAATAGAGACTTGACAGCAATATTTAAAAAAGATATTATTTGGAGAACAGAGCTGGGGTACAACATCTGGTTTTGGTGAAGTCTGGCCTTTGTGCCCAATTTTACAGCTAAGCTGACTGAAGTACCACAAGGCCATGGCTTGTCTGGGGTCAGCTCCTCGGTCAATAGCTCGGTTGCTATATGATCCCCAAACCCTCGTAACTTTCAGGCCTATATTTTAGCTATGGAGGCACGTGGCCTGCTATAGGATATGCCACAAAACATCCCAGATGTGCACTGAGAGAAATCCTTCCGTGACCCTGCTAACATCAAGTCCCAGCAGGACTTTCTGATTATTAAATGTTCTTGGCGACCCCTCCTATATGTGTAAGCGCATTAACCCGAATGTTATGAGGATTTCCCCACATGACAGCGTTATAAGATTTTCTTATGAGGTCACTTCCTCGGAAGGCAGGGATTTAAAAGCTGCCACAACAGGCAATGAAGCAAGCAACATGTGGCTTTGCTTTGAGTCTGTCATTTTAAGGGATGAAGAATTTATGTGGATACGATTTCTGAGACAGCTGATGTAGCTTTTCTGTTTGTTTATGGGCTTTGGTTTCACCTTGAAAACATCCTCTGTGAACATCAGAAGTGCACTTTGTCCCTGAACGGTATATTAACTTCTAACATTTCTGACTTCCAGTCATGGGGATTTCAAACCCAATTGCATATCGCAGCGAGGCTTTTCACTTTCGATGGTGCATTCAGGACGAGGCCAGCCTCTCCTATTTTCTGTGCTATCTTCCACCCATTAACTATTATCAGCCCTGATGGAAACCATCCCTTCTCTTTAAAAAGAGAAAACCATGTGCTAAGTTGCTTCTCACCTCTTAAAGATTCAGATCACTCAGGTAAACCATCCTGAGACAGAAATATGTTGATTTTTTGGGTGCACATTTTCTCCCAAACCATCACTCAAACCGGTGTTTTATTTCCAGTGAGGTCGACTGATGGCTTTTAGCAGCGTGGACCCCAACAGTGTGACTCAATACAAGGCGTTTCTTCAGAATATTAATATCACGGACCTTTCTGGACATTCTTTTTTTCTTTTTCTTTTAACATAGCCCAAGTCATAGACGCCTAATACTCTATTATTAAATACATTAAAAAAAAACTAATTTGTTAATTTTTTCAACAAAGTTTGTGAATTTACTGGGTCATTTTTTTTTTTAAACAGATTCACTTCCCCCACATTTTCCAACTCTGCAGATGATCACCTGAAACAGATTTGATTGAATTTGTTTAACAAAGGGCCACCTAAAACCACGGTCTGCCCTACATTTTTTGTTTTCCACATTTATTTCCTAAATCTGTGTCATTTGGTAGTTTGTCTTCCAGACCCGCTGCCAGTCTTGCTTAGCCCAGCTGGCGCTCAGAGACAAGGGAGGCGCTGGGAGGAAGGCAGGAAGCAGGGCAGCAGCAGGGACAGCGGTGGCTGCAGGACCCCTGGGGTCCACGTCCTTGCCTTTCCCCAGCGTGGTTCTGGGAAAGCCAGGATGGTGCAGACGGGCTCCATTTCCAGCTCTAACAAAGGGTTTGTTACGGAAGCCTCATAGAGACAAGATGTGTTTGGGATAAAATCTACAAACTTGCTCCATCACTGCTTCACTCTGGGGCTTACAAATGCTAAATAGAAGTCAAATCTAAGTTTTTCATAGAAATAGTGTAATAGGGAGTGATAGTCAATTTTATAGGAAACACATTTAATCATTCCTCCTTCCCTTCCTTTATTCTTTTCTTAAGAGATATTGAGTATTGATTACGTGCAAGGCATAGAATCCAGGGGGAAAGAATGTATCAAGTATCTTATTGCATGTCATACAGCATAAATCTTTAAATTGTGGAATATAAATCAAACAGAGCAACTCAGTCATTATTCAGTGATAATTATATTTAAGTAGTGCATCAAAATATATAATTTTATAAAGTTTTTGTCTCCATCTTTTGATAGTAATGACAATTTAATCCTCAAAATGTGTTTATTGAATTAAATGACGGCCATGAAATTCAGAAGGACTCATTTGGAGAGCTTTAAAAGGAAAATATCACTTATGATTTTACTAATTACAGAAGTATTTGTTCATTGTAGAAAATAGGAAAATTCTGGAAAACATAAGGAAGAAAATAAAAATCATGCACAAGTCTATCACTTAGAGATAGCCATCACTACTGATATTTTGGTATATTTACTTTGTGTGTGTAGAGGTTTCTGTGTGTGTATACACAAGAAAAAGCTAGAAAAATATAGTTTTTTTATGTATGATATAAAACAAAGTTGAGATCACACAATATATATTGATTTTAAACATGTTTTTAAGACTTAATATATCAAGAGCATTTCACTTTGTTAATAAAGTTTTATAAAACATGATGTTTAATGGGCTACAGAATATTGCATTATATAGACATGCATAATCTAACCAATCCTTTATTTCTGGACATTAAGATTATTTTCAAATTTTAAGGAGTATAAATAACTTCCAATTCAGTATGTTTATATAAAAACCTTTGTGTCTAATTCTAGAATAAAGTCCTGGAAGAAGAATTACCAGAGTTACTGAGACAAAAGAGATGACTATTTTTTAGGGCTCTTAATTTCCCCCCACTGTATTTCAGTTAGGAATGAATGAGAATAATTTCATCATCTTACATCTTTTTTAACTTTGGGTATCAAGCTTTAAAATTATTGTTTCTGGGGAAGATTTAGGCATATTCAGATTTTGGAAATATCAATAGAAGTGGCCTAAGAGAATTTATACAGTATAAAATTTGATATCTGAATCTTGAAAAAAAATAGTTAAATTTATGTAAGTATTCACTTTATTATTTGCAGAGTATAGTTACACAAACTCATCAACTCAGCAAGGTCCTGGAGTCATCGAGACTGACTTTGAAAGCCTTAAAGGTTATGTAGGCCAGTCTTCTACCAAAATGTTAAATCCCTCTTGTAACATTTCTTATAGGGGATTTAATTTCTGCTTAAACACTTCCAGGGATTAGGCATTCTTTACCTCAACAGGTATCCTTTAAAGTTAGTCTTCATTTATGTAGAATGGGCTTGTATGTGCTCTCCTACTTTTACATCCTTTAAAGTGACCCAGACAGACTTTAGAGCACATGTACCATTGTTGGTTTATATGTGCCATATATTCTATGTTGTGCATATTATTGTCATTCCATAGTTTAAAAGTTGCAATTCATTAGACACAATCGTAAAAGAACCCAGAGCGGTATTGGCATTAGACATAGGTCAGTTCCATGTCATCTATTTATGGTGATACACATGACTATGTTAGACTCTAACTGTGCCTTTACCTTCTAGAATAATGAATTTGCTATTAAAGAGAACAAGACTTCTTGGACCATATGCATTCCCCACAATATAATCCTGCAACGTGGACTCTGGAGATGGCCTTAAGTTTCCTGGTACATAGAATTCTCAGAAGAATTCTCAGAAAAACAGTATGTTTATGGGGTTGGCAGTAGTGATGGCTTCTTGTTTATTTTTTAGGGTTGCCATAGTAACAGTACTTTGTGTTTATAAATTATGGCACAGATAGTATCTTTGAATTCCTAAATAATCCTGTGAAGCAAATATAGTAATTATTTTGTTGTCAATATTATTAAGTATAAAGAAATATACCATCTCAATTTCAAGGATGAAGAGGTCAAATGTGTTGTCTTAAGTCACCCAGCTAATTAACTTTAACGTCAGTGCTGAAATTTAAGAAGAGAACTTCTGATTCTACATTCTGTGCTCTTTTCACCTCTTACTTTAAGACACACATTACATGGCCCATTGTTTCTGACTTAATACTTACTGTCTGTACATGATGCTATGAAGTAAATACCTACGAGTCCTATATGGGTTTTAGGATTTCTCTAATCCAAGGATTGGGTTAAAACAAACCTGTCGACTTGGATCAGAGTCCTTTTTTTTAAAAAAAGAAGAAGTCTGCATATGTGTACCATGTCCACCTGACTGAAATAATTTTTTCATGTTTGTACAATTTTTATCAGCAGGAGAGAATAAAAGCCCAAACCTTCCTTGTTGGATTTGATTGCTCGCCGCATTCATCAAAGTGGAAGCCTAAAACTAGAGAAGCCGGTAAGTGACAAATTGCCAGTGTGTGCTGATATTGGGCATCTTCACTGTTGATGAAAAAAGAAGGGGTCATGTTGGAGAGGCCAAAGATGACCCCACTGTTATCTAATCTGTATTTATTTCTCTCTCTCTGCTGTGAGAGTATAAACATTGGCATCTAGATGGTGGAAGAAAGAGATAATGTGGAATGTCTGGGCCTGGTAGGACCTTTTATCTCTTTGAATGAGAGTTCCAGAATGAAGAGAAAGGTCATGTTGAAAGTGAAGTATCAAGACTTTCATTAATCCATGAATCAAAATTGCATTTCAACCTAACTCTTCATGCTGGCACCCTAGGGTCTAATAAAACAGAGCTCTAATCAAAACAACATAATGAAATATAATCTAAAAAGGAATAGGTTTATAGGTTAGCTTTCAAAAGAGACAGGTGTTTTGTTATTTTAAGAATAAAATTCTATAACTGACAAGTTTCTTTTGTGGTTGAATATGATCTGTAAAATGCATTTTTTTCACAGAGCTTCAAGCAGTCCCATAGTAAGACACTTAAAGGTCACAGAAAAAGAATGAAAATGGGGCTCAGAAAATCCTTCAAGTGTGGGGCAGAGCTAATACTAACTTTCTTAGTCACCGATATACATACATTCCTTTCTGTGAGGATGAACTAATTCAACTCAAATCAATGTGTTTATTCATATAATCAGCAAGTCTTTATTGAATGCCAACTATGTGTCAAGAACATTATTAGATGTTTTGCCTTACCTAGTCCTTTACTGGCACAAGGGAAGAGAATAATTAGACAATGAAAGAATAATTGTGACCTGAAAAAGAAATCTATCAGATGATTGCATTAAGCTATTTGCACAATACTGTGTTCTCAGGCATGTTGCCTCACAGAATATTTTTTAGCTATGCATGAATCGTGGAGATTTAAGTCTCTAATTGAAGACTTATTAAGAAATTAGAGACTCAGAGCCTATAATTTTCAATCCTTGTCCATATTACTGTCAGCTTTTGAAAGTGAAGAACTATTAGCCATTTTTGTCATTGTGCCAGTGGAAGTTGTCTATGGAACTGGTGTATTTAAAAAAAATGCTACAACACCGTTATTTATAAAATATACAACTTTTATAGATTAAAATGCATCAAATGTACACAATTTTATGCTGACAAAGCATATGTTTATTTATGCAAATTTATTTTATGTTTTGAAGTCTGAGCCTAAATCTTTGTTACATTCAAAGGTTTCTCCTGCATCATTTTTCAGGGTCTGCCACGATGCACAATGTCACAATAACAAGTGGCTTTCTGCAGTCCAAGTTCCTGCTCTGGACTCCTTAGCCCAGTGAGAGTTCCTGGCTACTTTATCTTTGAGACACCTTGAGGGATACTATGTCTAAACTTCTTGTTTCATTTTTTCCTTATCTGATTCGTGAATCTCTGAAAGGTAAAGAGCTTGATGCTTTTGCTAGGTGGCTGTTTGAAGCCTGAGTGGTGGTCCTACATGGATTCACAATAAGCTCTCCTAGCTCTGAAGATTTTGTCATCTATTGCAAGAGATTTGACTATGTTCATACACATGTATAGCCAATGACAAGTTGTAACGCTAGTTACAATAGTACCCTGCAGATGGCAAACCTGTTTTGATGTAGATTTTTAAAAATTCTTTATTTTAGAAATGTTAAAAAATGAAAACATGTGATCTTAGAATCAAAGAAAATAGGGCAATTAAAACAGAGATTGTCGTGTTGCTTCCCAGGTAGATGAAAGTCTGGACAAGGGAGCTGGTACATGCCGTTTGTACCTGCATGACGTCTGATAATCATTAGCCGAATTTGACCCTTCTGAGGGTGTGCATGTATATGTTTGTGGGTGACTGCTTTGATATACTCATTTCAATTAAAAAACACAACAAGCCAAAAGCAACTAATTTTATCTGTTCACAAAAACATACAAACCAAATGTGGATCTAGCAAAACTGTCAGATTTTTAAAGAAATTAATATTTTCTGCTACCACCAGTATTTTGTTAAAAAATAGCATTAAAACCAAACGAAAACACAGTATTTCTTTTAGTGGAAAGAGTCAATGTTCACATTCAGAAGTTTAAAACAATACAATATTTATCAAGTAAAAAGTATATGTGATTTTTTTACAATCAATAATATATATCAAATATATCAAAAGAAAAATAAAGAAAAGTAAAAGTTCTTATTTCTGATATTATAAAAATAGTGCACACATGGAACCAATGTGGCTGGTTCTCCAGCAATGATAGATTATCAGTGCCTGGGAAGAATTATGTATAAACATAACCCTTACAGTTTTTATTCTAAAAGTTATAGGAAAGTTTCAAGTACAATGCAAAGAATGTTTTTTCCTGATTTTTGAAAGAGCAAATTACTGATCTAATGCCCTATTGACTCTGATGTATTTCCTATAAACGAGAACATTTTCCAACAGGTCCTTTACGTAACCATCAAAATCAGAAAATAAACACAGATATGTTACTGCATCTAATTCACAGGCACCATTCAAGTTTGCTAAATGTCCCAGCAATATTATTCTGCATAGCAAGAGTATGAAGTTCAGAATCAATTGTTTTCTTCACTCTGGAAAAGTTTCTCATTCTTTCCTTGACCTTCATTATCTTGATACTTTTGAAGATTGAGGCCAGTTATTTTGTATAGTGTCCATGAATTTGGATTGGTTTCATGTTTGCTCACGACTGTATTCAGGATAGGAATCTTTGTCAGAAACTCCACACAGGTGACATTGTGTTCTTCTCATTGCACCGCGTTAGGTGGTGCACAATTCTGATTTGTCCCCATTCCTGGTAATGTTTAGTTTGATCACTTCATTAAGATTGGATCTACCAGTCTTCACTAAAGTTACTCGTTTTTCCTTTGTAATTAACAAATACTTGGTGAAGAGGCATTTTTGAGACTGAAAATTTTATGCTTTTAACCAAACTTCAATACTTTATTGAAGGGATGATAATCTGTTACTATCATTTATTTGATGCTTATTTTTTTTTCTAGCTTTTGCTCATAGGCGCCCCTTTAAGTTGACTTTTTGTCTTTTAGCACATATTTCTGTGGGTGCCCTTCTTACCCCACTGGGGCTCTGACACCCATATCAGGTTTCCTTCCTGCTCCATTTCTTGGACACACTTTTCCCTGCCTGGGCTCTGGCATTGTGCTGTCACCCCCTCAATCCATCCCCCACCTCACTGGTGGCATCAATGTCTTTCCTGCCCAGGTCCACCTAATGGCTTTTAAACTGAATTGTTCAGGAAGAGAAGAAAATGAACTTTTGTTCTTAATGCTTTCTTTCAATTCCTCTTCTACATCTTCATTAATTTATTCACAAAATTTTTTTTTGAGCAACCGATATTATGTTGGCTACTATCTTGGTCCAGTAGACATAGAGATGAGTAAGATACAGTTGTTCCTTTTGGGAACACAATGTCTAGCAGGGAAGATAAAGCATGAATACAACCATCTGAAATGAATGGTTGCTCGTGTTCTATTAGAGGGATGAGAGAAGGGACATAGAGGGGTCATGCTGCCCACAGCCTTGAGGGAGGCTTCGGAGCAGAGGTCATTCTCAGACCTGCAGAGGACATCCCAGGTCCAGGGAAGAGCATAGAAAAAGGCATGGAGGCCTGAAAGTACATGAAACCTTTGGGGCATAGCAAGTGGTCACTGGGATCAGGAAGAGAATAAAAGGACATGAGACCATGGATAGATATTAAGATGAAAGCAGGAAGAAGAAAAATTAGATGAAAAGGACTTCAAATGTCATGTTAAAGTTTAAACTCTGAATATTAGAGCATGTGCTTTAGAAAGATAACTTCGGCAATAGTGTGGAGAAGAAACTGGAATTACATGAGAGAGCAGCTTAGAAGGATGTTGTCCAGCCTTTCTTCTCTAGTAAGCAAAAGGCTGAGGACTCTGGTTGATCAAGGCCTCCAGGGACAGTGAGGCAAAGCCTGGGATGCAGGTGAAAAAGTTCTGGTGTGTAGCACTTGCTGGATTTCTCAGTTGCTTGTAATCCCACCATGGCCAATTTCAAGCTATCAACATCTTGTTACTGAGCAGCATTTGGAAGAGATTAGCATGCCATCAGCTCTCCCCAGGCGGTGCAGGCTGGCTTGAGCTCACCACTGGAAGGTGAAGAGGCTTCCTCTAAGGGGAAGAGGAGTGCATGTGAGAGCACAGGATGTGGATCAAAACTGTGGGTTTCAGGGACCAGGTCCGTGACCTGCTCTGCAGCAGAAGGAGCTGAGGCCATCCATGGGTCCGTAAGGCACCTGGTGGCCCAGGGGGACCTGACCCAGGGAGCAGCAGGACAGAGTCCTAGTTCTGGTTGCCAGGGGGAAGAGATGGCATCAACGACAAGCTGTGCCACTGAGGGTGGGTCCCCTGACAGCAGGTTGAGGAGATCCAGGGATGAGCAATACGGCCCATGAGACATTTAGAAAGCGTTGCTCTCCTGCTCCAGGCCAGAGCCGTGGCAGGAGGCGGCTTCTGGGAGGGGTTCAGATCTGCTGCCAGGCTGTGCTCTCAGAGCTGCCTCTGGAATGCAGGTTACTGATCCCCCTTAGACTTTCAGAGTGACTTTTCTGAGCACTTCCTGTTTATTCTCAATCTTGTACTTCCCCTGAGACAAGAAAGAGCTATCAGTTTGAATTGGGGGTAAGAGAACAACAAAAGCAAGCCATAATGGGTAAAACTGAGTCTCTGTTATCTGATCACTGTCCTGAATGCTTTACATCTTGAGTCTTTAATCATCACTGCTGTTATTCCCGTTTTACAGATGAGGAAATTCACAAAGAGATGAAGTAACTTGTGAAGGAGAAATAGCCGGAGACGGTATGGTTGTGGAATGAACCATGGTAGTCCAACTCCGTGGCCCGTGTTCTAGCCAGCGGTCCCCAGCCTTTTTGGTGCTAAGGGCTAGTCTCATGGAAGACAATTTTTCCCATGGACGAGGGGTGGGAGAACAGGGATGAATCTGGGATGATGCAAGTTACATTTGTTGTACACTTTATTTCTATTATTATTATATTGTAATGTATAATGAAATAATTATATGATATACAACTCACTATAATGCAGAATCAGTGGGAACCCTGAGCTTGTTTTCCTGTAACTAATGCTGCCCCTGATCTGACAGGAGGCGGGGCTCGGGCGGTGATGCCAGCAATGGGGAGCAGCTGTAAATACAGATGAGGCTTCGCTAGCCCGCCGATCACCTCCTGCTGTGAGGCCTGGTTCCTAACAGGCCACAGACCACTTTCGGTCTGTGGCCGGGGGTTTGGGGACTACAGTTCTAGAGTATAGCCCACTGTGCTACTCTGGGGAGAAGGGAAAAGTGCAGGGGGAACAAAGAATTGGTATCTCAGAATATACTATCATCCACTATGGTAACTTAGGTCAGTTCAGGGCCTGGCATGTTAACAGGTGTGTAATAAATGTGTCTTGAATAGATGAATAAACCACCTCACTTAATCTTTTCACAATGAGGGTTTTATAGTATTACACTTCTGTCTTGCTTTTTGATTTTGAGTATTTCAGAATTAAAATGACCTTTGAGTAGTGCTTTATAGTTTCCCAAACAAGAATTTGAAAAATACTAGAAGAATGTGCCTGGCTTCATTTTTGAAACATTGTGCCAAATCTTAGATCATGGAGTTCTTCTTTATCGAGAGATTTAATTAGTTTAATTATTCCTTTACAATAGCTCTTTCTCTGATGACTTATTCTGCAGGAGGCAGGCCTGGATTAGTATGCTGAGGGCTTCATCTGGTGACAGCCAGGGCTCCAGGAGTCTACCTTGGTCTATGTTCCGCACGCACATATCTGTCTGAAGTGCTCTGGAATCTGTCTTTACCCTCCTCTGAGCTTATTGTATCAAAAGAATCTGCTTTTTGGTAGAAGTCAAGAATGCATTATTCTATCTCTATGATGAGAGGCAGATCTCCCATTAAAGGAAAAATTCTGCATTCGGAAAGGCTGAGTAGGTTGGCACTTAAAAGGGAATTCCAGTTGGTTATATTAGGGTGCTGAAAAAAAGACCCGGCCTAGGAATGCTTTCTGGCTGTGGGCCCACAACATTTTCAACCGATTGTGCATTGGAGAGATTTTCATCACGTTAGGGTCTTAGCTTTTCAGTGTTGTGTTGTTCTGAGACAGGAAAACAAGTGAGAATACACAGGTTGGCCCTGGTATCATGGCTGCATTCATGAATATGATCAAGGCCAGTTGTGTCAGAGCCAAAGATGGCCTCGTGCTTGCTGACTGATTAACATAAAAATCTGAAGGAGAGTTTGTATAGGATGGCAGGGACTGAGGCGGATAGTTTTTATGCTTGGGAATGGGTGCTCTTGTCTTTCTGCTAGGCTTCTAATGGTGTGTGTGTTCATCTAGAGAGGAGTTTGACTGTTTTTGAGATTTGTGGTTGCTATGGTTACCCTCAGTACTTCACAGTCTTCAAATTCCTCTAACAAATAGCTTGTATTTAATGTGGGGGAGGATTTTCCTGGAGTTTCTCCTCACAGTCGACTCCACCCTCAGCTTTAGGTCTTCCCTTCACACTGTGCCTCAGAGAGTGCCTGTGTCTTGTGGGTCTCCCAGCATATTCCTCTGTGCTTGTTACTTATACTCAAAGCTTGTTGGTTTTGATGGGGAGGGGGGAGGGGACATGTTCTCTGATGTTCTGATTAAGCCCCGGCCTTAACCTGTGTCCTCACTCTCGGAGGTGTGGCCTTCCTGAGTGTTTCTGCTCCTCCTCAGCTGTAGTTTCCATCCCACAGCAATGCTCCTGCCAGCTGTCTACATCCCTGGTCAGAAATCAGAACTGCTCATTTGTTTTTATCTCTTAATTTATGCTCTTCAGTTTGCCCATTTCACGTAAGAAAAATAGTACGAATATTGTAACTGAACCGTCCCACATGTAAAAATGGATCGTGTAGGCATCCAGGAAGAACCGCTAAGATGCTTTGTGGGAAAGAGAAGTAATTTTGGACATTATTCTCATGTCCTAAGAGCTTGTGGTCTAAATGGTGAATCATTTCTGGTAAATCCATAATTAAAATCTGAAGTGACATGCTACAATAGTCAAATGATTTCTAGGGAAAGAAGGTCAGCCTCAGGAGGAGCTGGGACTGGGATTAGGTATTGCTTAGTGTAAAGGGCAGGGGCTTTGTTGTCAGACTCACCTGGTAGCTTGGGACTACAAGCAGGAGTGTTCTGGTGTATAAGCAAAAGTCAAATCACGTTTTATGGCACCTTGAGAGTCACTGAAAGTCGCTTGCATACTCCATTGGTTTAAGCAGTCATCAACCTTTCTAGGGTCAAGGTTGTTAGGTGCTGGTGGGAGAGCAGACCCCACCACATGATGGGAAAAATGACAAAGAATTTCAGGACAATGTGGGCAATGTTTTAAAATGTTCATGACTTCCCCAGATTTTATCCTTGAGAGGACAGCATGTTTAGCCCAAAACATGTTACTCCTTGATATGAGTCTTTGTAAGCTTTGGTCCATATGAAAATCGAGAAATAGAATAAGGAGAGACTAAATAATGTCTCAAAGACAAGTGAAGAAAGTTGGATGTGATTAGATAAGAAAATAAGACTTGGTTTAGGTTTTTAGAGATGATGTGTGAAGTGCAATGAATGGAACTTTTTATCTCCTTTCTAAAAAGGAAAAGATCAAATACACCAGTCAAAGTTATCCTCTGAGAGTGTTAATGTCGGGGAGCTTTCAGATCAACATGTTAATCAAAGCCTCATGCCCTAATCTGAGTGAGAGTTTGCTTGATCCAGAAGCCACTTGACAGAATCAGAAATGCCAAAGCTCCAATGTCAAAAATATGATTACAACTTGCAGTGTTATGTGAGAGTCAGTGCCAGGCAGACGCTGTCTCTTCTCCCTGGTGAGAATGAGTGTGTGATATACCCAGCAGGAAAAAGGACTCCTAATGTGGCAGTAATCAACTCCACTCCTGCGCAGGACGCTGTGCCGGGTGCTACAGGAGGTGTTGAGATGTGTTAGGATACGGATCCTGCTTTCAAGGAGGTTATAATTTAGTGAGAACAATCCCATAATGAGCCGATTTGTCATTAATACCTAAAAAAAAAAAACCCCTAAGGCACAGAAAAGTTTAGTATTATGGCTAATAAAGACTAGAGCCAGGTTCAGATGGTTCTGTTTATTCTAAAACAAGAGCTATTGCTATTCTCATCGATGCCTTTTTAATGGGAAATCAAATGTTGCTTTCTGTTTTTCTTTAAAAGTGAGAATTAAGTTGCTTAATGGCTTTGATTCTAAAGCCAGGAAGTAGGTTGGAGGGAGAAGAGACTGATGGCAGGCCCTCTCTCTGAAGCTGGAGCATACCATTAGCTGGACTTTGAGTGACTATAGCATGAGGGGTTCTGATCTTCAGAAATAGGATAGCAGGTGTCTCAGAGACATATACTGCCCTTGACTATCCACTTGCTCACTCACATGTTGCAGCTTCCGTGCTAGTTAGATTGGAGCCCTAGCATTTGTACTGGCTGAGGTTCGAAGTACAAGTCCCTTGAGCAAGTTGTGGGGTGGCAGGGAATAGCAGCAGGGGGTTCCCCATATCTGCTCTTCTCCTTGGCCATGGGGCCACATGTTGAGATATCAGAGTGCCTGTCACTTAGGTTCCTGTATCACAGAGTGGAACAAAGGGTCCCCACATGGTCCCCATTGACCTGTGTTGGACTTAAGTGAGAAATACATCTTTATTTTCCTAAGCCCATGAAATTTTTAGAGTTAATTTGCTATCCTAGGAAAACATAGCTTTTCATGACTAATATACCAATGAATTCTATGAAGGGCCTGAGCAATGACACTTGGGCTGAGTATAGGTGGAGAATGATGACTTTAAGTATCTCTAAGTTAAAATAAAAAGATCTCTGAAATTACAATTTCTTATAAGACAATGTAAAATTGAAGTAGTTAGCATTAATCAATACGATAGATTCTGCATTTCAAACAAAGCACTTAGTGTTTGTAGACACCCTTCAGGGAAATACCCGGGTCTCATGCTTCAGCTCATCTCAGATTCTCTCTCCCCAGGAGGCAGAGGGTTGGGGCCCTGGCTGCACAAGCCAAGGCGTCGTCCCCCTCTGGTGCTAGCCCCCCGAGTTGCAGGCACGTGGAGACCAAAGTCTAAGCAGTCCTCAGGGCGTGACTTGTTAATCCAGTCTGTTTTTCAGGGAGGGAAAATTCATACTTTTCAGGTAAATATGTTAAAATGATTCATCAGTTCTGCTTCTGAGAATTTATTTCCCAGACTATTTCCATATTTCTACTCCACATAAAGGTTTAGTGGGTTTAAAAATAAGTGAAGGAAAAAAGATAGCTTTCTTTCCTGCTGAAGGCTAGTTAAAAGTCCATTTCCCAGCCTTTCTATTTTACCAAGGGAGGATATAAGATGTAAATGTATTCCAATTTAGCAAATTTGCTATACTGTGAAAATTGACGTTTGAAAGATCTTCCCTGGGAGCCCATCCACAGGATTGAGAGACTATTTTATTAAAAGGGCCTTCTCTCTGCGGTGGTCTTATGAATGGATTTTGAAGATAGCAGGGCATTATGAGTTTCTTTTTATAAAGGTCCTAGATTGGCACACCTATATTTTCCTACTTCTAGGAATTAACCAGAGGCTTGAAAATGAGTCTTTGTCTAATGCAGAGAAATATACAGATGTGTATGCCATTAAGTTATAAGTCATGCAGGAAGGTTGCCTGAGTGTTTATGAACTTCTCCACTAGGAATGACTTTTACAATCTAAGACGATGTGCTTAATATATATGTTAACTCAGGTTGGTAAAAGGAAAGTTTAGGTTTGTATTTATGTATTGTTCTCTGTGCTGGAATATTTCTTCTTAACATTTGTTTGGTTAGTATTTAAAAATGCTGGATTTGTACAGTGCTGTCTTGACAAGTCAATACTCCTAAAAAGAGTCATGCATTATGTTAATATTTGCTCAGGAAGCACATGGACACAAGATGCTACAAAAAATATTGTCAGACTTTTTAAAAGGCAATTTATCTTCATTCATAATTATATGTATGTGCGTGCATGACACCAAAGATGTAATGGTAGTAATTTCTGTTTTCTAATGCAAATGCCTGGTGCTGCCGCCTTGGCATTGGCAAGTAAATAAATCAGCATGAGCAAATCCAAAATCATTCTCCAGGCAGGGATTCCGTTCAACTAATCACCCAAGAAAACAAACAAATACACCACAAAGAGTAATTAGGAAATCTGTGACTCAGGGGTCGGGGCAGTGGGGGTTCTTCCTGAGAAGCAGCTAAAGAAGGAGTGACATATGATAGGCCACCGATTATTAAACCTGGGAGACAGAGCAAAGCTCCATCCCAGTCTAATTAGATCGCACAAGGTGCTATTTGTATCCATTTCTGAAAGACGACTAAGTTCATAGTGAAATATCTTTGTAATATATTCTGGGGGACGGGATGCTGAGGGTGCCGAAGGCTGGCCGGGACTGAATTGTGGTAATATTGCATTATAGATCTTAGGCAGGGCTTTTTAATGCTATAATGAATTCAGGAAAGAACAAAATGAGGTAGAAGACAACTTACGATGTGACTGGATGAGCAATACTTCAACATCTCTCCCCGACGGCAGTGGGGGACGTAGAGCAAAGGCTGCCAAGAGAGGGGGCACCTCTGTGCTTAAACCGCATCTCTTTCCCAGTCCCGCCAGAGGCCGTTTTTCTCTTTCCTTCAGACCGTGGGGTTTTATTTATTTGGTTAGTTTTACATTAATGTGCTCAGTAGCAGCTTTTGCTAATGCATTCACATTCCCAACACAACACATAAATACTGTAGATTTTTTAAAAATGTGTTTAAGACTATAGGCTTATTTCTATGCAGATTTAAAAAAATATATCTCTTATCATGCTTGTTTGCAGGAGTTTCCTGACCAGGTGATAACTCTCGTTCTCATCCTATGGTTTGGTATTTGAGGGGTGGCTCACCCTAACGGCCCCATGTCACTCAGTGTGTCCTCCTTGTGTACCCCAGGAAGATTCCAGATGATGGGATTGAGTAAACACGGCATTATTGTGTCTTGAAGAGCCTACAGAGCTGGAGTTCTGGTCTTGGCTCCTCCTTGGGTGAGTCCACTGGGTCAAGGTTGTTATTTCTAAAGTAAGGAAATAAAACTAGGTGCCCTTTAAACTTCTTCCAGCTTCTACAATCATGCTGGGGTCATAGAAGTGGTCTTCTGTTTACCTTCCATTACTTCCTAAGCACTGAGAAAAAGTTTGCATAATAATACCTTTAAAAGTACAGGACTGGAAGTAACCCCAAGAGGAATCTAGATCCTCTGCTGGCTTTAAACTCTTCAGATAGATGAAGAACTCATCACTTTTGAAGGTAATCGGGGAGATAGAAATTCATGAGCATTTCTTGAACATTTACCATGGGACAGGCTAATCTGATTCTCAGAGAGACACTGGAGGAGGGTTGTTACTATTCTGTTTGACAACCAAGGGACTTGGGCTCAGAGTTGCACAGCTATGTAGACCTTGTAGTCACACCCAGCTCCATCTGCTTCTAGAGTCAGAGCTCTTTGCCTTGGTCCAAACAACCTCTTTTAAAAACAAATACCAAAAATCCACCGGTAAGACTGTTTCATTTGAGTAACTGTGAAGTGTGGAAAATGCGAGACCAAGATTGTTCCCATTATACAGATGTAAACACTGAGATGTGAAAAGGTTATGATTTGTCACAGATCATAGGTACATCAGTGGCAGCCTCCAGGTTAGAGCTCTAGATGTTCTCTCCTTGACTTAGACCTTTCTCCACATAGCTTGGAAGAGTCAGGTCAAGAGAGAATCTGACAAGAAGGTAGGATCACGTCTCTGAAGCCCGAGAGATGAGGGGTGAATGCTAGCAGCCTCCTGAGCCTGCTCTTTCATCTGTAAAATGCAGGTAACACGGGCCAAAGCTTGGGGCAGAGAAGGGGCTCAGTAAATGTTGTTTCCCTCATCTTCCGAATTAACTGGGTTTGGATGGGAGCAGACTTCCAGTCAATCCGTGGCTTGTCTGTATAGTGACAGTATTTTGACTTGAAGTTGGACGCACTAATTTTTCTGCTTCTGAATGTAGACCCCCTTCCCAGGGCTGTAGTATGTGTGTCTAGGCTGATTACGTTGCACAGGCATGATTACAGATACAAAGTCATTTTCAAACTAATTCGACTCCGTTGTAATTTATGCTTAAAGACAGCATTTAAAGAAAGTGTTAGTTTCAAAAATAAAACAAATCTATACAACAACAAACTTGAATCAGTGTCCCTAGTGGTTTATATAATGCCGCTGACCTATAGCAGAGAAGGGAGGCTCTTCTCATGGTAACACCAGTGTCCCCATCTCTTTTGACATATGACATTGAAATTGCTTACTCTTATGGCTAAGTGTCAAGGGGTGGATTTCACATTGACAAAAGTTTTTTCTTAAATGTGTAAGAACCACTTAAAAGGAACAATGCAGATATTTTAAAAATCACTCCTTGGTTTTAATAATTTAGTTAGATGTAGCTTGAATTATGTGCTGGGTTGTCGAAGCTGCCGCAGGCGTCATGCTGGTGTGGACAGCACAGGTGAGCCTTGCATGCTCCATGCTTGTTGCGGTAGAGTGCCGCGGCGCCAGCTGCGTCCAGCTGCAGGGGACTCAGAAATCCTCCAAGGAGAATGCCGGAATAGTCCTTAGCCTGTGTATCCAGCAGAGGACAGTAAAGCCCCAGTTTTCTCTTCTGACTGCTTTCTCTCACATGACTGCAGCTGCATGGTGCTCTGAAGCTCCTGGATGGCTGACACATAATTGCAGACATTAGACATTTCTGGAGAGAGACGTAAAATGTATTGTGAGGCCAACGAAATCCTTTGTCACGACTGCTCTGAAGATCTGACCCCTTGCCATGACAATGCAAGACCAAAAGTATGCCCATCACTCAGCGGCTGATGACATCTCGTGTCTCGTGAACCTCATTGGTCGAATGTTTTCGTGTTGCTTTATCTTGTTTAAATGATAACAGCACTCTCTGTGACTGTGTTAGGATACACTTTCACCTGGCTGTCAATAAACAAATTGCGTCATTTTCATATTTTTGTCCCCACTGCTTCTGAGATTTCATAGTCTCTGTAGCAACAGAGTATTGAGATTTGATAAGATAGAAGGAGGTTTATGTTCTTTCTCCAATCCTCTTCCTTTCTCCAAATTTTTCTTGGCAATTTTCTGGCAGTTTGGCTTAAGTGGAAACCACAGGTAATTTTCTTTCTTCTAAGAGAAATGAATTTTCAAAAAGCAGAAAGGAAAATAGACAATCCACGTGGGGACCTCTGGTGAATTCTATGTTATGAGTGTCACCCCTTGATCTGGTGGATGGAAATACTGTGCATTATTTATCAAAGAGGTCGCTGCCTAATGCAGGGGCTGCAATAAATTCTTTATATGGGCTAGCTGCAATAAAATGCTGTGGCCATAAGTAGTTCAGAACCACTAATGCTTATATTTCTTTGAGGAAAATCATGAAAAATATTGAGCAATCAGAGTGTGGTGAAACACATTTTCATTTATGCTCTCTGCAGCCACTCTACTGTTTGTGGTGCATGCTGGAGCTGGCCAGTGGGCAGTCACATGCCCTAGCACACCAAAGACCTTTTCAGCATTGGGAGGAAAGACTACAAAGGACAAGATATATATTCTTAGCTTAGGAATTCTTAGGATGACCTTCTGTGAACTGTGGCTCCAACGTAGTGATCCAGTGGCTCTGGGACATGAGGAAACCCTTGTAGGGCAAGGTTCAGGATTTTGTTCTCTTGGAGACTTCTGGAACAGCAGTTCTTCAAAGCAGGCCATTCTGTTCACCTTGTGTAGAAAATACAAGCACAAGCATAGTAAGTACACAATTGTTGAATAGATGAGTAAATGAAACATTTTTTAAAAATTAGGATCAACTCAATTGGAGATTCTTTTTATTGATCCATTTAAGACATAAATGATCCCTATTTTCCCATTAAAAACTGAAAAGTTTGTCTATCACAAATTTTACTTTAGTTCATTTATTATTTGTATTATTCTTTTTAGAAATAATTGAAACCTAATCTTTATGGAATACATGCATTATACTATAAGTTTAGATAAAATACAAATGCTTTTAATAATTACCCACTATGCTGGGTATGGTGAGGTAAGCATAGAAAGTGGAAGACAGAATCCTTGCCTGTGAAGTGAATAATGTATAATAATTGGGGAGATGAGGCCAACCCACATGAAAGTATAGCAAAGAAGACAGTCTATCATTCAGAAGTGGATTTATTTGTTTCAGATTGAAAGTATGCTATAAATTCAGTAAAGAGAGAGACCACTGAAGACAGATGTGGTTGAGGAAGACTTCATGGATGAGGTGGGACTTGACCTAGATATTGAAATGGAATGTCATAGGGTAGAGAAGAAGGAGAAGGGTGCCCAAGACATTCAGCCTCCTTGGACCCTGAGACAGGACTCACCTATGCACTTGTTAGAGCCCCTGTCATACTGCGGAAATGATTTACCTGGATGCCCCATCTTGCCTATTGGAGGTATAAGTTTTGAGGGTCAAAGATCCTGTCTTGAATATCAGAGAGTCTTCCACTTGGCCTGGCCAATAGTGGAAAGTTAATAAAATATAGGCTGAGTAAAGGAGCTCAAGTTGGGAGCTGGAAATGAGCATAGCATATGCATGAAGGTATGAGCATGGCACACGCATGTAGGTGTGAATATGTCATGTGCGTTTGGTGTGAGTTGGAGAGAAGTTGTGGCTCAGCGAGCAAATCCTGCTGACTGGAGCAGTTTGTGTTGACAGCAGTAGGGACAAGTTTGAGGTAGTTGGTGCATGTTGCCAGCAAGGCAGTGAAGGAAGAGTCTAGATGGGATGTGATGGCCACAGGGAGCCACTTGAGGAGAAATGCGACATAAAGGAAGTGTCATGGGAATTAATCTGGCTGTGATGCACAAAATATGTGGCAGGGTGGGCAAAACTATCACAAAACTGAAGCAATGGAATTGGACAATACAAATATTTCTAGATCAACTATTCTTTTTTTTAAAACTAAAATGATGGATATATATGAATAAGTTATTGGTCAACATAGTTTTGTAGAGATGGCTTCTTTTTCTGTAAAGGAAAAAAAATGTATTTATTAATGAGCACAATAAAATGAGAGACACCTTGAAACAATGTGGAACTTCCTTTTTTAGTATATTCTAAGTGTGTTTTTATTACTTTACTAATCACGATTTCAGTAGTAAACAGGGGTAATAAATGTCAGCCAATGACCAGTAATGAACACACACCCAGGGACTTCAGTTTGAAGCAAAAGAAACGGTTATTCCAAAAGGGTGGTGTTGAAAGTTTGGGGGGAAAGTCCCTTAGATGTAAAAAAAAAATGGTCTCACTAGGAACAGCTCCTGATGTGTGGAGAACATGATGTAAACAGGAAGCATCAAACAATGACATTACCTAGTCAGCTGACGTGACATGTGCGTGTGACATGGCACAATGAGCGCACCAGCAATGACCTTGGGGTCAGGCCCTGAAACGAGCCAACAGTTGGGGTCTCTAAGGAAAGACATGCTGGTTGGCAAGGGGTTATTGGTTTAGCCTTTTCGTCTCGTTTGTAAATGTAGAAAATTGTCATCCAAAGCATATTAGAGACCTATTCACCTTGGAGGTCAATTCGAATACTCCATCCTGGCTGTAGTTGTCTCTCTGCTTTCTCTACACCTCTCCTCTGTATTAGTGCAGATTTTATACCTATCCTACTTACACTGATCCTATTTTATTTTTAGCACAGTGGCTATTATATATCTCTCTCCTCCCACGAGTCTCCGATTTGTTGAAGGAGAGATCCATGTTCATCACCGGAAGCTCTGTGTCTTCAGGACAGCTATTCTGGGAAGAGACCGAGTCCACACGTCACCGAGGACGGCAGGGTGTGGTGGCAGCAGTAGCTTCCACTCAGACGGATTTACGTTTGCACGTGAATGTTGGTCTAGACAGGCTGGGAGAGCTTAGAAAAACGGCTTAACCTTTCTGAGCCTTCTTTTTCTCCTTGGAAAAAATGAAGGCAGTGATACGTACCACATAGGGTTGAAAAAGGATCAGAAGGAGTGGTGTGCGCTACTCGGAAGATCGGAGCAACTACTGCGATCTCCAGCTTTGTGCCTGCCCTTGGTGCTGTGCAGAAATCCCGTTTCTCAGTGGCATCTTCCATTCACGAGAGCAGTCACATATATCCACTTGCCCACCGGTTGTTTTCAGTGAAGTGACATATATGCAAGTAAAACGGGCCTGTCTAGAGTCGAGCTCATCGTCCTGAGCCTCCCCTTCCTGCGTCCCCCACGGCAGCGAGTGAACTCGCCATCCGCTCAGCGGGCCGATCTGCAGACTCGCAGTTCATCCTCCTCTTCCTCTCCACGTTGCCCTCCGCACCCATTAACCACCAAGTCCTCCTGATCCAGCCCCTTCCTCCTCACCTGCTCTTCTACCCCAGCCCCTGCCATTAATGCTTCGCTTCTCATGGTGATCTGTCAGTGGTCACTGTGCCTCCACCACCTTGCCCGCCTCTAACCATTCGTATTTGTAGCTCACAAATGTGAAGATGTGACCACCTGTCTCTGGGCTGCGTGCATCTCTGTGACCTGTGCTTCCTGTCATAGCACTTATCATGACGCAGTGGGACACAGCTGTGTGTCATCCTCCCCACCCCGTGAACTCCCTAAGGAGAGGAATCACGTTGTCCTTGATACTACTGGAAAGAGGCGTGGCAGAGGCCCTGCAGGCCATCAGTATTTGCCGAGAGAAAGGACAAACAAGGCACCTACACAGCTACTGCCACAGTGATTCTCCTTTTCTTGCTCTTCCACATTCTCCTGTCTTTTATTCTCTTCTCACTCCTTCTTTTACTTTGCTTTCCTAGTTATTAGTTATTGGTTGTAATTGCCACCATTGTTATCATCATCATCACCAAAACATCACTATCCTAATTATAATCTTCATTGTCCATCATCACCTCAGATGGCCTCTGCAATAGCAGGGGATTGCTAGCAATGGCCAGGACCTGGGTGGAGGGCCAGCAGAAAGGGGACAGAAATTCAGAAGACTCTGGGGAAAGGAAGACCCCCAGGTCCTCTGTCTCATCCTTCCCCCTTTTTTTGAAGGCTTCTTTTTTTTTAAATTATTTTAGCATATTACAGAGGTACAAATGTTTAGGTAATATATATTGCCTTTGTCCTGAGTCACCTGAGTCAGAGCTTCAAGTATATCCACCCCCCCAGACAGTATACCCCGCGCCCCCAGCCTTACGTCCTACCTGCCGGACACCTGATGAATGTTACTACTGTCTGTGCGTGTAAGTGTTGGCCAGTTAATTTGAAGGCTTCTTTTGGAAGAGCGTTGTAGGTGCTAATCTCAGACTGATCTGCCTGGGACATCAGCTCTCGGTTCCTGACAGAAACAGAAATATGAACTGCAGCCCTAGAGGAGGAGTCACTCGGACCCCATCTGGAGTGCTTACAACGCCAGGGTGGGAATGAATGAGCCAAACTCCATTCTTCACTCCTTGGTTCTCATTTTCTCTCTTTCGGTGTCTTCTTCCTCTCCCTGTTCACAGAGGCCCAGTGCCCTCATGCCTGCAAGCCGACCGCCCTGATTATGGAGAGATTAAATGAAGAAAGTTTAGGCAACTTGCTGAAAGTCACACACAACTCGTCATTCACAGAACAGGGACTAGAGTTTGGGTTCTCTGGGTTCCAGGCTAGAGTCTTTTCCACCCTATTGAATTGCCCAGTGGGGACTCACTGGCTGAAATACATAAATGAGTTGGGAAAGAAGCAAAGTGAGATTGTGTGTGTGTGTTGGGGAGGAGTGGTAAGCAGGTATTTTCTGTTGCTCGTTCCTTTCTTGCTACCTGCTGCTACCATTGTTACTGTCTTCATACTCTCTTTTTCCGTTCTCCTCTTATCGCCCCATCCCACTGTTTCTCTCCTGTGTTCTTCATATGCCCATAAACTGCCCTTTCTCTACTGCCCTCTTCACTCCTTCCCACATCCTTATCCCCTTCGTCTTTTGCTTTCTTATTTCTCCTTCCCCTGTCTCCTCTGCAGCTTCCATGGGCCCCTAAAAATATGAAATGCTGGATTTTTAAGGGACATTAAAGATATGTAATTTTGATTAATTTATACTATAGCAGTTTTATAAGGACTATTTGATATCCAATGAGCCTTTGAAAAGTCTTAAAGGTTTTTCTTTTTCCCCCCAAAATGATAACATTACATTTTTTTTTTTTTGAGTGAAACTAACTCAAACACTTGAAGACCAAAGTTTTCTTGGCAACTTTATTTCTTTGCTCACAAAAAGATACACATGCCTATCTTTGCAGTTATGGAAGCTGCAAGGAATGGACACTCTGAAAATTGTGAACCGAGAGAAAATTCTATAGCTATGTACCAACATCCATCCCATCCTTGGGAACAGTGGCGGGCTTGGGAGGGCAAGAGTGTGAGTACAGATTAAATTAAATAGACCAAGGTCAAGAAAGGGCCTGGCAAAGGCAGGACTCAGTCGAGGAGTCTGCATAGGCGAGATTGCTGGGTGGGGAGAGAGCTGAAAGCATGGCCTGAGGGCCCAGGGATTCTGCTGGCCAGTGGGTAGGGGTCTGGGCACTGAGGCCCGGTCAGCTGTGAGTGGGGCTCCTTCCTCCACGTGCACACTGGAGCTCTTGGGCCTATTGTGGGCAGCTCACACCCCTCCACCCTGTCTCTGCAGGGGTGCTCTCTGGGGGTCCTTCCTGGAGACACAGCCCTGAGCTCACTCCTGCTTTCAGTGTTGTTAGCACCCAGTTTCTTACATCACTGCTGGATTGGTTGTGATGTCTGCTTTCCACACCTGAGCCTTGATTTTACAGTCTCACAGATGATCATTTAAAGTCTAGAGAAGGATAAAGGAAGAGGCAATTTTGTCTGATTTTCCAAGGCAGGAAGAGCACAAGTGGTAGTTGTATAGTCTCATTCGATTCCCTACTGTGTTTCCCCGAAAATAAGACAGGGCCTTATATTTATTTTTCCTCAAGAAGACACCCTAGGGCTTATTTTCAGGGGATGTGTTATTTTTTTTTAAGTACAGTACAACAATCTACATTTATTCAAATATAGTTGTCATCTTCTTCTGGAACATCATCATAACTCTCCAAACCCTGAATTCCATCCTGAATTTCTTGCGACTCTATTTCCTTTAGAACCATTGGCCCCATTCTCTCATGTCGAGCAATAGAGCTCTCATGGGGCAGATGAGAAGGGCTGCTCGTCTTCTTTACCGCTCTGCGATGAAATGCATGGGTTGTTCAGATACACTGCATAGCCACGCCCATCACTAGGACTTATTTTCAGGGTAGGGGTATATTGCTCAAATGCTTAGAAATTCTACTAAGGCTTATTTTATGGGTAGGTCTTATTTTCGGGGAAACATGGTACTTGCAAGTATCTCCCTAATATTCTGCATTTATCAGCTTGGACTTTGAGAACCTTCTTAGCCCTTGTAAGATGTGTTTAGAAATTGTCCTATATATCACTTGATACATTTATCTTGGGTTGGCTGCAGGGGGAGATATGAGCATCAGTAATGGTATTGATGAGACCTGCGATAAGTGATGGGACCTAGGTAATAATTGGTCACTTCATCAATGGGAAGAGTAAGGTCCAATTGTTCTGCTGATACAATACTGAACATCCTGAGAAATGTTTTAGGATTGCTACACTCAGTGAATTAAATTAATGGATAGTGTGGCAAGGGGATATTATTTAGGTTGGGCCCAATTTTTGTTTTCATATTTTTTTTTTTTTAGGGGGGCCAAACCACGTGGCTTTATTATACACTCGTGGACGAGGTTCTGGGGCCCCAAGAGCAGGGGCCCTGGAAGTCGCCCTGTTTTCATATTTTGATAAGATGTTGACTTAGATCTTAAGAGGTGGGGAAGAGGTTGTGCCAGAAGTATCAAATTCATTGATACCATAGTTGAAAATCTGGCTGAGGATGGAATTTGAAAGGTAACTCCCACTGTGGGGTTCTCATATAAGGTGGACACAGCTGTGTGGATTTCCTGCTGGCTTGGGTGAGGTTATCCACGCTGCTGCACTGGGGTTCTTTCTTTCTCCACAGTGTGTGTCAGTGGTAGGTTCAGTAGTTCAATTGCACAAGTTAAGCAATTAGCGTCCATCTTTTAAAAAGATTTATGTTTTTCAATTTATTTTTAAACTTCTATCTCTGAGTCTTCATAATCTAGGCTCAGTGGAAGCGACTTGCATATATAAATGTTAGAAACTAACCACTGGTCCAAGAGGCGGGAGGGGTTGAAGGTGTAGAACTGTGGTTGTGAGGTTCTGGGATTGTCTCCACAAACCCCCTGGCCCTGTGGGTCTCCCTGTTGGAGGGTTAATGGGTGTCTACAGCGAGGGGAGGATGAGGCACCCAGGAATTGTGGTCAGACACACTGGGGGGTGTGGGGAGCTGCCGGGACCCAACTTGGAGTAGGGATTTGGTCAGACAGAGGGCAGGATAGGTCGCTGAGAAGTGTAGCGCTTGGGGTATTAGGTTGGTCAGAGGGTTTCAGTGAGTGAGGACAGCTAGCAGGAGGGAGGGCCAGGCAGCACTGAGGCAGCTCCACGTCTCTGCTCTCTGAACCCTGCCATTTTTATTTGAGCTAATTTGATTTTTTTTTTTAAACCGAGTCTCCCTCCCTTACTTCTTCCCTCCTTCTCTCCCTTCCTTTTCTTTCTTCCTCCCTCTCTCTCATTTTTATTGTTTAACAAAGTTGTGTGAACATAGTTTGAAGAACTAAATAATTCCATAAGGTCTATTATGAAAAATAATAACCCGCTACCCCTCTCCTCCTATTACCTCTCTCCCAGAGGCAACAGCTTGAAACTTTACTCCACGCCCCCCCCACCTTTTTTTTGGTATTTGCCAGTATTTTTAAAAATAGAATGCTTTTATTGCTGCTTCTCAAATTTTCAATTTCAGGCATTATTTATGGGAGCGAAGGGCTTTTCCCTCTTCCCTGCCCAAGGTCCACCCCTGACAGGAGCCCTCTCCACTGCCCCATTCTTCCGGTATGTCAATATCCATGGTTCTCATTTACTGTGACATGTGTAACCGCCGTTCAGTGCTGAGCCTGTGGCAAGTTATGATTGCTTTTCTTCCCCTATATGAGTTTTTGTGTTTTCTGGATTAATACCTGTTTTTTCATGTGGTCACTTCCCTATTTTTTTTTTTTTTTAATCAGTAATTTAACCCCAAACCCACTGCTAGTTGTCCAAATCTCCTTTCTAGAACTTCCCCTTATGCTGGGTGTTCTGAGACTTTCATCTTCATGGGAAATCTTTTCTAGAACCTTCAGGCCTGACCCAAGGTGGGGTCTTCCCTCTCAGGTCCCAGGCTGGGCTGTGTTACCCTGGAGCTTGTTTGCCATCACTGGGGGGTCCCTTCCTCACTGTGTTTGCTCCTCTGTTTCCTGTATCTCAGTTTCCCTCTTATTTCGATCACTTCCTTATTTGGAGGTGTGTGTCCTCCAGCAGCTTGTCCTCCTCCAGCCCACATTATAAAGAA